TGCTAACTGGTTAGCAAGATGCTTCTGACAAACTGACCACAACCGAACTTGCTTGTGAACCTTCCGCTACAACAATACCGCCCCCATGATAAATGACACATTCACTTCATTCACTCGTGTAAAGTCGTGCACCAGTCTGGAGAATTAGGAAATGCAAGGGTTGGAACAGCCGCTTCCCTACAACTTTAAAACAAACATGGTGGATGGAGTATCTGATCTTGTATGAGATGACCATGATTATAATAAGGTTAAAGACCAAAGTGGATTAAAGTAAGTTGAATAACATCAAACATTGAATTAAGATGCTGTGTGAAAACTTTAGCAGTTTCAGCGCTGTGGTTGAGGAGCTGAGAAGACGATGTTAACCGGCCACAGATGAACCAGGAATCTAAGCTATCCAACTTTTACTGAGATTTCTATCTATGTTTTTAAACATGAAATATTTAAAAAGTTTTACTTTCTAAAGTTAACCTGCCGATTTAGTCGCAGAAAATAAAAATTTGTCCAAATAGCTGTTTTGGGTTTTTAAAAAAGAAAGATCTGATCTAGAAAAACGTAGAGAACTTGCTTAAATGAATATAAAGTTACAGTTTGCACTATTAGGTCTTAAGTCAAGGGCGTTATAGAAACCAGGTATTTTTCAGTTATTTCAGTCTGCTCATAGTTGACCTGTACAAACAGGCTTTTTTCTTCTTATTTTTTTATTTATATAAACATGAGTAATAACTGCTTGAATAACAACTAAGTTTTTTTCTGTGTGCAGGTGGCACCTTATTGATAGTCTTTTTCAATAGATTAAAATATGCGTCTGATTAAAAGTAGAGTTTGAAAATAACCTGTGTAGTTTTTTCTAAAAACGTGTTTTTATTTGGTGTGAATGAAAAATCCTCATAAATGAGAAAAAAGATTAAAAAACTTCAGCTTGTGTAAATAATGTTTATAAAAACAAAGTAAAAAAAAACTTTAATGATAGTCTAATATATGTATAATATGACTAAAGTTAATCATTTAAGGTTCAGTTTAAAAAAATTGTTAGACTTTAAAGTGTCTTTTGGTTTGAAGAAATAATATATATTATATATATATTATTTTATTTTAATATATATATATATTTTTTTTTTTTGAAAGATTTATTTATTTGTTTCAAATACATTACAAAAGGTAAAGGATTAGTCCAGACCTCACAACGTCAATTTACTATAAAAAAAATGTATGATTTAAATACTTTAAAAATTGCTTCATACATTAGTAACTACGTTTTTGGGTTTTTTTTTTCTTTAGAAATGTGTAATGAATCTTCATATTTTTTAAATTTTTTTTTTTTGCATGCAACCATAATAAGTCTTTCTTTCATCCACTATGGTCCTATTATTCTGTCCTGAAATTGCAAAGCATTTTAGTTCAAATAAAAAAAAAAGGGAGGATTTTTGATCAATTTTAAGGAAACTTTGGCCTCTTGAGCTGAACTTCTGCTGCTTCAGTTTCTGCTAATTAACTGAAACGGTTTGAGTTACTTGGTGCTGCTCGGTTACACGCTCCAAAGCAGACGTTTGTTCGGGTCATCTTGCCTCGCTGGACCTAAAGAGGGATTTTTGTTTCTCGTCAGCCCAGAATATGATCAAATCAGTAGGAGAGCAGCGGGGGGAGGGCAGTTTCAGAGCATGAGCTTCCTGTGTCAACACAGAAAAAGTTTGAGTTATTGGACACATTATTGGCAATCCAAAATAAAACCAGGGTTCCCACGGGTCCTTAAAAAGTCTTAAAAGGCATTGAATTCTT